AATAAAAAATAGCAAATATTATTTTATAATATTTCAGTCAAAATGTAATAAAAATATCAATTTTCTTCGTCTTATAGTTGTAATAATGAAAAACAAATATATAATTAGAATGTTGCTTCAATAATAAATCGAAATTTTTGATCTAGTTGTTTCTTTTATATAATTTGAGGTGGTTATACGATAATGTTTGTTCAAAATTTTTTAATTAATTGACAACACACTCCTTACAGACAAAATTACTTAAACCTATAACCTTTGAGAATATATAATAATATTATCTTTTATTACTTAGACTAGTTGATGAGTTCAAATAATATTAGATTACCTTTATAATATGAAATTTTTAATAATTAATGTTATTTTAGCGACTTTAATTCATTTTATTAAAACAAAAAACATAAACATAATATCAATAACAAAAATAACTAAATCAAGTGGCCTCAATGATGAGAGAATGTTATTCTCCCTATAGATTTTAAGTTCAAACAACAGTGTTAGTAGGGTTTGTACACATGTCAATTGATTAAAAAATATTTGAACAATACTATCATGTCATCCCAAACTATTCAAAAAAAGTTTTTATATATGTTTCACTTATTAATTTCTCCAATTGAATATTTTAATTAGGTGTGAGCAAAACTCGAGTTGGCTCGAAAAATTATTTTCTGATTCGACTCAAATTAACTTCGAGTTTTAATTTCATAAATTCGACTCGACTTGAAAAAATTTCAAGTTCAGGTTGACTTATAAAAAACCACTCGAATAGTAACTAGAATAACTTAAAATTTTTAGTAGATATAGGATTGATTTTCAAGTTTGAGTCGAGTCCCTCGACTCTGTAAGATATGTCTATCACATATGAAAAAGATATGAAGAAATATACATGTATTGTATATGGTTATACTCTTAACTTCACTCGACTCGATCAAACGCTCAGCCCTATTTTTAATAATTAATTTTTATTATAATTATAATATATTAATTATAATTCTATTTATTCAGCATGTTAGTTAATTGATTATAATAATAGTAATATAAATATATTATTTATAATTGTAACTTCAAATGCATATACGAATAATGTATGAAATGATAAATTATGATCTGTAATTTTTTTTTTTTACAAAAGAAAATCAAACTATATTAGTAGTGGTTTGAACTTTTTCTCCATGTAGCCATGGGTGGAGAAGGCTTTAGATATCACCAGGTGGATGTTGCAGCAGCTAGAGTTCTGTTATTGTAGTGCGTTTAGTACGAGTTACAGCATCCGCTACATCATTCTTTTCTCGACGAACGTATGTTATATTGATCTTCCTTAGAGTTGGAGGAGTTTGCGGACACGACGGACGATCGACAATTCATGTGTCTGCTCCATAGAGTTAAGAATTCTTACTGTCTCTTCTTCGTGCATTTCTACCTTCATCTGTGTAAATCATCGCTTTCAAGCGAAAATTAAACCACCAAGTATAAGAGAAAGGACAAAATGATGAAAAGCATGTGGAGTGGGCAGTCCAAAAATCCAAGTTGCGGCTTAAATTAAATGCATGTCTTCTTGTTAGTTATCGTTAATGTCAAATTGCATTTCGGTTGCAATAATTAAACACGCATCTCTTTTCTTATTTATTGCCATCCTATAAACATAAATGCAATTTTTCAAAATTTAAATTAATAAATACGATTTTATAATAAACAATTGAGTCTAATTCGATAATTATTCATATAATATATATTAAGATTTGTATATAAATAAGTAATATACTTAAAAATTTATGTTAAGAATGATCTTATAAAATTTTAATTTGAGGTGAACTTATTAAATTTTAAGAGGTAAAAATAAATTATCAATAAAAATATAAATTATATAAAAATTTAAAATTTTGAAAAAACGAAGAGTCTTGTCAACTCCCTTTAATTCATTCATAAGTATGAGACTGAATTTTTCAACAATAAAAAAAAACGAGATTGAGTATATTTAAACACTTAATATCTTTTTTATTATAAATAAAAAATAATCTGAATAATAGAAATATTATATCAACTTGTTCAAAAAATATGTATTGTAATCGTAGTATATACATTTTTAATCCATAAAAAATATAAATAAAAAATTAACACCAAAGTCGGTATAAAATTAGGTAGCATAGACTGAGTGCGGCAAAAGCACCGTTTCAACAACATTAGTATTTCACCCGGGCCCATTTTACGGCTAATATTTACTGCTGGAAAAACCGGGTTGTTGAGGCCATTCAAAACTCGGTGTTATTTGGAGATAGGTTGTCAACTCCAAAAATAGAAATTAAATTTTAAATAATTTTAAACGTGTTTCATTTAACACTCTTCAAAAATTTTCACAGAAAGAAATCCCAGCTGTAAGATGACAATAGGTAAAGTGGTAAATTTTCCGACTGCATAATGATTAAACAAGATGAAATCTATAATAATAATAATAGGTTGAATGTTTAAATAAGAGTTTTTTTTTTAGAATATATTCATCTAAATTTTTTAAAATGATATGATAAAGATTTAATATTTAAATTTTGTTTGAAAAACGACATTATATTTTTTACATCAATTTAATAAAGATTTAAAACTTAATCAAATAAGATATTTAATATTTATAAATCTATTCAAATAATCATTGATTTGATTAAATATGAAATGGTATTAATTTTTCGAGAAATGAAAATTTCACCCCTTAATATTTATCTATTTTATCATTCTAGGCCTATTTCCTTTTGTTTAGATCACTTTGACCCTTGACCTCTATTATTTTTTATTAGTCTGGATGAATATATTGTAATATTTGTTTAAAGACTCTCAACCATTTGATAATGAATGCTCATGCATCCCTACATATGTGGTGCTTGAGTCTGGGGATCTTGAATAATAACAACAATTTCTTAACCACTGAGGTCGCATGGTTCGTGCTTGACCTTTAAAATTTAATTTAATTAATTTTTGGACAATACATTTTTTTGAACCGTTAAAATTTTAATGGTGCTAACGTTCGAGTGGTAGTTCATATATACTTGATTAATGGACTAGATATCGTTTTTTTAATTTTTTTCGAGCTTTTTGAATTTTTTTATAAATTGTATTTTTTTTAGAAATACACATAAGTTATTAAACATATTTTCATGTTAACATCGTTAAAATTTTAATTGTTTAATCATATTTTTCATCGAGAAAATAATAATTTGACTAACTTTAAAGAATGAAAGATAAATGATCCAAAAATAGGGTAAAAGTGACAAAAATAATAAAATGTTCTGATTTCATTTGTTATAATGACTATTTTTATGAAAGATGAGATGTTATTAAAATTAATTAATTAAAAGGGTAAATTAAAATAGAAAAACTGTATTGGAAAATGTTAGACCTATATTTGAGTGAGTTAAAAGTATTAGACATCAATTTGATTATTTTAAAATATTAAATTATTATTTAACTTGATTTAAAAATATTATACTTCTATTATACCATTTTAAAAGGTTAAATTTTTATGTGGAAAGTCTAAAAAGAGAAATCAGTATTTGAACGTGTAATTATAAAAAATATTAAAAAATATATAAAATATAATATTCATATATACCATACTAATTTTATTAACATAAAAATAATATTTATATTAAATATTTAACTCTTAAATTATATTTATTTTTAAAAAATTACATAAAATTTTAATCGTAAAGTGTTATAGATTTAATAAATTATTATTCAATTTTTTTTTGAATTGTAGGGATGAAAAAGGTAAAAATTCATACATTTATTAATAAAGTAAATTGAGTTGAGAAGATCTTTTATATAATAGATCATTGTAAAATTTAATTTGAATTAATTAATTAATAAATTATATACGAGTGATTAATTTAAAAAATAAAATAAAAATAGAAACAAAGTTAACGGTACATTAGGAATGTTAGGAGGGAATTTAATAATCAATAACTACAAGTAGTTGTTAATAATACGGTCTCTACTATATCAGTCAAAGGGACCTGAGTCTCCACTGTCACGTGACATAATTCCCTGATTTCGAGATGAAATCTTTGGCTCGAGTCTGTTTTCACCGGTTCAATCACCCTTTCCTCCTGTTTTCTCGGGACCACATCCACGTGTCGTTATCTTAAATTCCCATTTTACGCTGCGCCTCGTAAAATATCTATCGGTCACCGGAATGTCGACGTCGCCGGTATACCCCAGCCTCATTATTCTATCGGTTCTGTTTTAACCTCTCAATAATTTTCTGTTTGAGAATCATATATAATATTATTTTTTAATTTCATTTTAGTTATCTATAGTTAATAAATTAAAATAACTGATAATATATATATATATATATATATATTTATTTTTTTAATAATGATATGATATTATTTTATAATAATGTATTAATATTAATATTACTTTATAAAAATAATTGAGTGATTAAATATGTAATTTTCCCTAAAAAAATATTAAGGATTTAGTTGAACCTATTACGGGATTTGGGATCCTATAAAGCTAAAACTTTCCATTTACACTTCAAAAAAACTCTTATTATTTCATTCCCTCTGCTTTATTCCCTCATAATATTTCTGGTTTCTTCTTGTCGTCTTATATTTTTTTCTAGGGAAAAAGGTATCATCAGAAAGTAACTTGGATTCTTAGTCTCTTATCAGATTTTAGATTCGGAAGTTACCCAGAATAGCAAAGCCGTGCTCTGTTTGAGTGAGCCAAAGCTATTTTTTGCGGTATTCCCCTTTTCTTTTTTTGGGCTTTACTCTCTCTCAACTATTTTCGGGTGATTTTCCGTACTGCTTGTGTGAGCGAGCACACTCTTTGTTTGGCTTCACTTTCCTTGAAATTTCTCGCTGTTTGGTAAACCCTTTGATGTGGGGGTTAATGGTGGATGTTTTCTTTTCGTTTTCGAGCTTAATTTAACGTGTTCTTTATCTTCTCAAACCTTTATTCTAACAAAGAATCTCTTCTTTCCCTCTTTCTTCTTACTTCACTCCAATACTTACTTCACAGTTCACTCTAAATCCCAAATGAAGAAGAAAATGGATGGTTTCCTTGTTCCTTCGTTCAAATACACTGAGCACCACTGTCAAACAACGCTGATTTCACCACTGTTAGATGTTGGACTCGAAAACCAGCCGGAAATGAAGCGCCGGATTGTTCGCATTTCAGTTACGGATGCCGACGCCACTGACTCCTCCTCCGACGAAGAAGAACGATGTTGTTCTCGAAACAGAGTGAAGAAATACGTGAACGAGATAACTATCGAGTCATCATGTCCCGTCAGAAGCGACACCGTTTCAAGGAGTAAATCGTCGTTGTCAAAGAGTTGTCGAAAGAGGCCGGCAGTGAAAGTGAAACCGGCGGGTAAGAAGTTCAGAGGGGTAAGGCAACGGCCTTGGGGGAAATGGGCTGCTGAGATCAGGGACCCGCTAAGACGTGTGCGGTTATGGTTAGGTACTTATGATACAGCCGAGGAAGCAGCAATGGTATACGACAACGCGGCTATTAAATTGCGTGGTCCCGACGCGCTCACTAACTTTTCGACTCCCAAGGGAAAAACGATCCGAGTCGAAAACAGACAAAAACCGTTATCCAGCTCAGACTACAACTCCGGCGAAGAATCTCACAACACAAACCTCTGCTCTCCGACTTCCGTTCTCCATTTCCCGTCGCTCTCCACCCACGACGGCGACTCGCAAAGCGTCAAAGATCCCCTAGAATTTGGGAGCCAACCTCGGGATGTCATGGATGACTCCTGCTTCATATGGGGAGAAAATTTCTCAGATTTCTCCGATCATTCATCGTTGTTTCCGAGTGATATATTCAGCTCAGTGCCAGGTTTATTCGACGATAATAAGGATTGTTTGCTGAAAGATGAATCCGGGTGCGGGTTTTTGAGTTCGGGTGGTGATTTCGAGTTCGGATTCAGTGGGTTATCGAGTTTGCAACGTGTGGATGATCATTTCCAAGATATAGGGGATTTGTTCGGGTCGGATCCTCTCGTGGCAGCTTGAGAGTGTTTTTCTGGTGATTCCATTGCAAGTTTTGGATCGGCGGGAAATGCAAATATCGAAGTGTTTTTTTTTCCAGTTTTGTTTGTGTTATTATATTATTTATTGTTAATTAATATTTATTAGTAAAAGTAAAGACTACTATTAAACTTCTCCGTCGTTGTAACGGTGACGACGTGTTTGGCTACGTGTTGTATGCAATGTTTTTTTATGTGAAGGCAAGTCTTCTTGTACCACTCGAAAGTATTTTTAAAATAGTGTGTTTGTTTGGTAATTGTTAGAATTAAATAATCAATTCTTAATAGAGTAATCTACACAAATAGTTATTCGTTTATAATGTTATTTTATTGAGTTGATTTACTATTAAAATTTATAAAATGATATTTTCATTATAAAAAATTATTTTATTGAAATCTTTTGTTATTAAAAGTTATAAAATGATCACCTTACTATTCATATTCATATGTTCTAAATTTGTTCTTTTTATTAAAAAATTAATGATCGTCTGAGTTAGACGTTAACATACTAATTGTGATATGATAAAATCATATTTTAACGATATAATATAAATATCAAAATATTCAAACACTAGCTTAATAAATTTTCAAAATATTTTAGCTAATTGTGGTCTACTAGCACCACCTTAGTTTTCAAGCACTAGTTTAATGTCAAAATATTCAAAGCGTTGACTTGATGATATAATATAAATAAAGAGTTGATCCACAAAATACAGTTCAGATAGTTTTGGGATCGGATTTTATCATATCTAAGTTCACATGTTAACGAAAAAGAACGAGTTTAGAATATATGAATAGTCATATAACTATTTTGTAATTTTAATAATCGGGTGACTCAATAAAACGTCTTATTATCGAATATGACTTTTAATAGTTGGGAGAATTAACAAAATATGACATATAATCGAAAAACTATTTATGTACCCTTGTTAATAATAACTAATATTTCATGGAAAATAATTTAGTTTTAATATTATTTTAACTATAAACTGTTTTTGGGCAGAACCAAAACTAGACACAACCTGACCGGCAATGTCAACCCTTTTTAGTATTTTTTTTATCACAAAAAGAAGCATTCAAACAATTGGATAAAGCAGTAGCAGTCCTATTAACAGGTTGGGCTCCACTAGAGTTCAAAATACAAGAAAAGTGAGCTTAGATCAGTCCAAGAGCCCAAACAAACACGAGAGGGAGCAAGAACCCTGAGCAAAAGACACAAAAGGAACATACATAAACCACAAAGGTGGGCTTAGTCCTTAAAACTTTAGCAAATCAATGTCTCGTATGTTGAAAATAAGTTATGGTTAGGACACATGAAAACTACAACTAAAATCAAGGACTCGCTCCTCATTTATTATAAGATCGTCATTAAAAGTAATTAGGAGTTCACTATCACTAGAACCTTGATACTTGTGTGACCCTTCTCTCACTTGAAGGACTGAACATTGTGAGTGAATTGGATGTATATTCCTGTTGAATGTGGGCTCATTAAAAGAACTTATGTCATAGATTATAGAAGTATGAATTATGTGATGCTATGATAACCCTGGATTATATGATATCTGTTTGTGTTTATGATTGATGATGTACTGATGATTGCTTTATGACTATACTTGTTGGCATGCTCATATGACGAGTACATATATTAATAGTAGAGTTATTTGTACGGTAGTACGCTCGTTAACTCAGCGTTTTAAATGTATTTTCATTCGTAGATTCTTAGGTGGAGATCGAAGAGCATATTGACGGGTTCAAGATTTTAGTTAATCGAGCTATCAAAGTATGCCTTAGATATTATTATATGTCATGTATTATTCATTGACCTTATGTGTATTTGAGTTGTAACTCTATTTTGTTACACTTATATTTGTAACCAGATTTATATTATTGGAACCCCTTATTTTATAAACTTAAATTTATGATTTTATTATTGTCACGATGATTATAGTTGTCATATTTAAATAAATAATTCCAAAAAAAAAAGTTATGTATGATTACCCTCCCTACTTAAGGATTACACATGTCACAATAAAGCCTTGTGAAATCTAAAATACAAGAACATAAGTAAATTTTAAGATTTTTTAGATATCTCTTTTATGAATTTTTAAATTTCTTATAATTGCAAATACTTTCTAATCTAATTTTTAATATTTTTTTAATAATTTCAATATTTTTTTTATTTTTTTACAAAATATCATTTTATAACCTATTATAACTTTTATAGTGTTTTTATTTAAGTATTCTTTAATAAACTTTTTTTTTTAATTTTAATAGTATTTTTATTATTAGATTTTTAATTTTTAATATCTATTTATATTTTATATTAAAAAATCATTGTTACTCTCGATTTTAAAAAAATATTACCTTCAAACTTTTTAAAACTCAAAATTTCTCCTTTGTAACCTTTTCATTTATATGTGGAATGGTGTGTCAACATCGTGGGCAAACATATTAATATAGTGAATCGTCATATTAATATAATAACAATTAATGTTAGGCAAAAAGATAAATTGATTGTTCAAATATTATATGACATTCTAGGATAGAGTTTTTCTATATTCTTGTTTGTAGGCGAGGCTCATCGATCCTCGAAAAGTGTTAAGATAGCCACCGTAGTAGTTGCTGCACATGCTTTTCCTGGCAGCCCTTTAAGGTGGTGTTATCCAAGGTGTGACTCCTTGTAACTCCAAGGATGCTCTTCTGTGCATTCTTCCGATCCTCTCATGTTGCCCTTATCCAAGGTGTCAATGGCGTCAATGATGACAGTTTTCGTCGCCTCTTGAATAACAAGCTCAATAGGCTTCGAAATTAGCAATGTCACATCCGATCTTTCAATGCTCGTAGAAAAGGGGAATATGGGTAAGGGCGTTTTGACCTAACTGACACGTTTTTTTTTAAATTCTCCCGTTATAACATCCGTTGACCAATATTTCTCGAAGTAACACCCTTTCGGCTGAGGTGGCATAAAGATGCGTCCCCGATGATGCGCTTTACTTGGATTTATGCTGAGTCGGATGCCACGCGTGAAAGGCGCATCTCCGGGGATGCGCTTTACCTGGGTTCTGCTGAGTTGGATGTTACGCTGGTATTTTTTTAATAATAAAGATTTTATTTTTATTTTTATTATAAATTAGTAATATATTGTGTAAAGTGTTTCGGTTATAATTTAAGAATTATTGAATATATTTTTTAAATGTGTGTTTTAGTGTTATATGTTTCAAGGACTTTGACATTCACCCATTTCACGTAACATTAATCGGATGGAACAATAGATGAAAAGCAGCTTTTATTTTATTGTAATTATAGGAAAAATGTATAAAATTATAATATTGCACGTATGATTATATATCTATTATTTTTCTTATTTTGATTATCAATATATTAATTTTATCATTTAATTATTTAAATGCCATCAATCTAGTCATTTGTTATCAATATTTAATGAAAATATTGATCCATAAGTTAATAAAATTAGAATAATTACACATTTAATCTTCAATACTTACATATTTTTATCAATTTAGTCTTAATTTTAATTTAATTTAATAAATTTAATCCTCGAATCAGATCATTAAATGTGTGATCGTATACATTTTTTTAACTTTTAATTTTTTGTCTCTACTTAGAAGGTGAAATTATTATAATATTTTAAAATTAATAATAATTTTTTATAATAAATAATATTAATTAATATATTAAATAAATATAATTAATCATTTTATAAAATTACAATATAAATAATTTATATAATATTAATCAAATATCATAAAATAAATTTTAAATAATATTTTTTTTTAAAAATAAAATTTATTTAGGTATACATACATTGGGAAATTATAGAAAATGCAATTACATTTAAATATTATAAACAAAACATTCATTTAAATAGAATATTAATTACATAAGGGTTAATGGTCATGTGCTGATAACACAGCTGGACATTTTTTTCTATTGTGTCCGATGTTTCTGCAATGGCCACATCGTTTTTGTTCTATTGACTTCTCCCGAATATCCATATCATAATGTATTCTAGTAGATTTTGGACGACCCGAGTCCCTCAATAGCAACGGATCTGGTACAATTGTAAGCCAAGTTTGAATCTCATATGGGTCTCTTTCGTTACCTATGGGCAGAAACTAAAATTCATATACCTTGAATACTTGTGAAAGTTGGTATACGAAATCAACATAATTTTTGTAGTCCAAATGCGAAAGTGAGCAAGCTGCAATTACATGGGAGCATGGATATTTGAGTGCTTGAAAGAAATCACAATCGCACCATCTCTCTTGCAAATTAACTCTTAAAGAGTTAGCTTCAATCCCTTGCAGCAGACATGGCATTTCGGTTACACGAAACAATTCACGGGTGCGAGAAAAATTTGTAACCAACATCCCATTCGATGCAACCACTTTTTTCTGTAAATCAGCTACTAGTCTTGGGTGGTAAATATGACTTGCATCCAAGTAAGAGCTTGTCCACCGAGCTTTGCAAAGAGTTGACCCAAACGAAAATAAGTCGTTTTGACCAACGTCGTGACTGGTAAATAACGCACCCCCTTTAAGGTTGAATTTATTGCTTCAACCAAGTTGGTTGTCATATGACCATAGCGATACCCCCCGTCATACGCATTTGTCCACATTTTTTTATTAATGTCATAATGTACTCGCACCCATTCTTATTTTTGGCAAACAACTCTTGTAGCATAGACTCAAACCTTTGAGGTAAGAGTTCGTAACCTAAGCCATTAGGAATATGTAATAGTTAATATGAAGTATAAATAAGTAATACGAAAATGATAGAAAAATTGGGAAAAAGTAACATACCCATCCGCACGACTAACTGACGTTCATCGTTCTTATTGTATTTTCCGTAATAGTTTGCAGCAATATGACAGACACAATAACGATGTTGAACATGTGGAGGTCTATACATTATACCCAAAGACTCCATTGCTACTTTTATCACGGCTCCTCGGTCTGAAATAATGCATACTCGTTCCTTGGTGATAATATGAAAACGTAAATTTTTAAGGAAAAAAGCTCAGGACTCAGTGTCT